AAGAAACTTTGAGCACAGGAGTGATACATCTTAAAAGAATCACTCTGGTCTGCTTGCAGTGTGGAGATTAGACTGTGGGGGGACACGTAGATGAAAAATGCTAGAGGCTTGGACAAGGATAGTAGTACTGGGGTGGTAAGAAACAGACTTGGGATGTAATCTCAAGGTAGAACCAACAGGATGTGCTGAGGGGTCAAGTTTTTGGCCTCCTTAATTGGGAGATTTAAAGGCTCATATACTGAGATAGGGGTTTGTGGTTAGGATTGAGATACCCGTTTCACAGCCAAGTAGAGATCTTGAGTAAATGGTTGTATGAGTCTGGAGTCTGGCGAAAATTTGGGACTAAGTTAAACATTTGGGAAAGGATCTATTTTTTTAGAAGAGACTCTAAAACCATAATTAACAAAGCATTACTTTTATTTCAGAAAAAACCATATGCCATTGTTGAAAGGAAGCCCAGAATATTCCCAGTAAGTCTTTTTCTTTTGTTTGTAGTTTTTCTTCTTTCCCCCTCCAAGTGATTGTTAAACTAAAATGTGTCTTTCTTCTCACTGTCAGTTCAAGTGCCAGTTTTGTATGTTCTTGTTCGAAAAGGGAAAAAAAGGAGGAAATAGTGTGAGGTAGCAGTTACAGTTGAAATGTGAGGTGCACACATTTCTTTTCAGCTTGTCTGTAAAACTTGTGTGACTTTTGTAGTCATAAAGTGAACTGAAGGTAAGTATCCTGTGTTTATGCGCAGTTAAGCACTTAGCCTGAGCAGACACCTGAGCATGGTAATGTAATAAATAGTAATAGCAACTGAATTCCTGTTACTGTGTCCAAACTGTTATTTCTTATGGCACTTTGACCTTAATGTCTCTCTCTATCTGTGAATTTAAAATTTGTTAATGTGTGCTTAAATTTTATAATATGAAAATATAAGCTATTCTAATTTAAAATGAGTCTTTTCAGCATTAAAAGATTACACAGTAGTCAGTTGGTATTTTTCCTGGTTTGTGAAGGTATTGTTTAACATGAAAATACATTGTTTTTTTCTATCTCTTGTCACAGATAATAAACTACCATCAATCTCTAAGTTCTGTAATTTTGAAAAATAAAAGTGTTGATTCTTGCTTCAGTCAAATAACATAGTCACAGTAATCCATTATCTGTTGCAACAGAAGGGAATTTTAGGGAGAAACATCAAAATTGACTAACCTTCCAGTTGGAACTCTGCTTTAGGAAATAGTAGGGGGTTTCATCTATATTTCATTGTGTATACTTGATGTGTGTCAGGGCGTAGGTAGTCTCAAAATAGGCAATTATCTTGCTGGTTTCACCAGTTCAGGAATTTATTTATTATTCCATATACACATTTATGATTTCTTTCCTTCCATAGCATTTCTCCTACCTCTCTATTTTTTGCCACTGTGATTCTTTTTGTTTCTGTGCCATTGACCGCTTTGAGAAGCTTCCCATTTGAGGACCTGAAGAATGCTCATTTGTACACAGAATAGAATAAGCAGTAAGAAACACCCCTAAATCTCTATTGCTTAACAAAACAAACAGTTTCTTACAGATATCACAGACACTGTGAGGCAGGCAATCTTCCTGTCTTATGGTTATGCCATCTAGAATGAGGCTTCCAAAATCATATAAGGGGAAGAGAGGGTTGGATGTCTCAAGATGATTTTAAGGCCTAAACTTGGAAGTAGCTTATATCACTTCTCTTAAATCCTGTTGGCCAGAACTCATTCTCATTGTCCCAGGTAGCTGTGTGCATTCTTCTGTTTCTCAGCCTCCCATGACTGGAATCCTGCCATAGTCCATCCTTCTAGCCAAAATAGTTCTTTGCTTCCTTCTTCCCACACGTATACACAGTTCCTTCCCTAAGGAAAATCCCAAAGTCCCATTCCATCACTGCAACCAGCCTCAAATCCAAGATGTCCAGATGATGCATAGTAGTGTCTGTCAGGTTTAGATATGACTTCTCTCGGAGATTTGAGGATCGATGAACTAAGATGGCAAGTAAACTGTATCCCTGGCTTCCTACCACCACCACACCCATTGTTCAGTGATGTTGTTTCAGACAGGGTCACTGGTTCTTGGCAGTCACTGGTTCTTGGCAACTCTGAAAGTGTCAAATATTATGAAGACTCCTAACCCTTGTGTATAGGTAGTTACTTGAATGGAAACTGATTTTGTCTTCTCAAAGTAATACCTTTGTTCATTGTTCTTCCTGGCCCCTGGCTGTATCCAAGGGGTTCTTTCTTTTCTATCATCAACCCTGACCACATCTAAAATGGGTACTGGGATATATGACTGTGTTAGGGTCCTACAGTCTTTTTATCTGCCTTCTGCTCACAGAAGGTTGAGTGCCAGAGGTTGTTTTAAGCTCAGACATTCACAGGCTTTAGTTGTCTGTATGATGGTTTCTTTGACCATATAGTTCCCACAACATTTGGTAGGCATGAAAAGAAAAATACTTGGTAGGAGTCTGTTGACTTCTAGCTAGTCCCACATTCATCTGTGCTTTCTATACGGTTCCCAGGTTCTCTACTTGGTCCTCCTGCAACTGCCTATCTCAAGTCAGTGTCAGCTGTGTGGAGACTACCTGAAACGGACTCTGGATCAAAGGCTACCTTCACTTCAATCTGATCTTTACCATAGGTTCCTCTGTTTACTGAGCTTCATCGGGCTTCTGTTTCTTCAGTGTTAACCCTTACTATTTAGAGATTCAGAAGCAATATGATTTTCTAATCCTGAAAGGACTTGAATTTTTTCATTCTATTCTTTGAAATCAGTCACTTGCTTGCCTGAGTTATTTCCTAAAGTACTTTCTCAAGGCAGCAAGTACTCAAACACATATTATAACTGTTTTTCCAGCTACCTCTTCTAGAACCTCAGGTTGATAAGACAGTCTGCTTCCAAGTTATCACTGCCTTTTATTTCCATCTTTTACCTTCCAATGCCAGTGTCCGTGCCATGTGGTTCAGTTTTTCTTATAGCAGCATTAGTGCCACTTCAGAGTATTAATTTCTGTGTTAGGGTAATATTAGCTGTGGTAACAAATTACCCCCAAAATGTGTAATGGCTTAAATATAAGTTTATTTATTTACCAGGTAACAGGTCAGGAAATGGCAGGGGTAGGGGGTGGAGGATAATTCTACCCTACACAGTCATTCATGAACTGTCATGGTGACTGAATCTAACTTGAACACATAGCTGAAACTAAAGCTAAGTAAGTAATTTGCCTACAATTATACAGCTTGTCCATGGAGTCTGCAGGATTCTCACCACTTGGTTCCAGTCTCCAAAGCCTTTTCTGCTACACACTCTATCTAGGTTTGAAATGACAGCTACCCAGGCAAAGTGTACATTGTTTCTACTGTCTGGGTCAAACAGTAAACTGGTGATTGCCTATATTTAATTGCTGGGTATACATTACCTCCTTATACTGAGCTGAAGGTATTTCCCTGTAACTTTTCTAGGGCTTCTCCTATTTCTTGGGGCCATGCAAACAAACATCTCTTTATCATCCTGTGAAAGCCACTTTTCATGCCCTTTCTGGTCATTTTGTTTGAGTAAAACTTCTTCTATCCCTTTACTTAAACCTTAAAATTTGAATACTGATTTCCCATCTTTAGACAGCCTTTGATTTGTTACCCTCTTTTACAGTGGGAATGCCAAAGCTGAACTACATTTTTAGTATGAGTTGTGCCCAAGTGGATAGATACACCTCTGCAGACAAGATTTTTCTGCTAATGCATGTTTATGTTCCTAGGGTGATACAATTCTGGAGACTGGAGAAGTAATTCCACCAATGAAGAAATTTCCTGATCAACATCATTGAAGATTAATTTAAAATTTCATAGGCATATGAGCCCAAATTTTGTTGCTACATTACCATATTTACTGAATATGTTTTCTGAAAAAGTAACTTGAATAAAGTGTACTCTTGGGTATGTGTTGTCTGTTTCTTCCCAAACACTGTACAGTTTAAAACTGCAATTTATTTAAGGATGAGTAAAAACTGGAATGCTAAAAAAATGATATGAGCAATCACCCTTTTCTGACCATTCTTGACTTAGAAAACAGGATGTAGAAAAATAGTCACACTAGTTTTTTTTCTTACATAGTACTTAACTAGCTTATGTGTAGGTATGCAACAATAAAATGTTGCAGTAAATATAAGAACAGAAATTACACACTTTTGTTTTAAAGGTGGCTTTCTGAGACATTTTAAAAGAAGTATTTTAAAACCTCTAAATTGAAGAGCATGTCATTCCATCTATAATCATACTCAAAGGCTGTCAGATCTAGGTTGCTTTGTTATATAAGAATTTAAAAGAATTTGAAAAGTTCGCATATTAATGGTGTATTATAAAGGATTGTATGCAGGCCCTGGCCTGGTAGTTCAGTTGGTTGTAGTGTCCTTCCAATACGCCAAGGTTGCGGGTTTTGATCTCCAGTCAGGGCACATAAACCAGCCAATGGATGCATAAATAAGTGGAACAACAAGTCGATGTTTCTGTCTTTCCGCCTCTCACTCTAAAAAAATCAAATAAAGGACTATGCAAAAATAAATTTGGAACCTTTGTATTATGTATTTTACTTTAAATTTAGACATGTGTCAGGTAAGATTGAGGTAAAGAAGTATTTTCATAGAATAAAACATGAGGAATTACAAATTTTCATTCATTCCCGAAGATTTTGTCTGGGTATTTCTTTCTTAGCTGTCGTCCAGCCGCTACTGTTGATGCATAGATGACATACCCCCAGGAGAGTAATACGATCGCGAGGAGCAACTAAAAAAAATAAAATAAAATAGGAAAGGGAATAAAAGCGAAAAAATTCACTAGTAAGAGCAGTACTTCCTCCCGGCTCCCAGCTCCCCACTCCCATTGGTTGCCATGTACGTTGCTAAGGTGACAAACGAATAAATAGAATTCCAGAGGCGTACCCACTGGGCTTTCCCTACGTAAGAAACGGAAGAGCGTGTCCTCCAGGAAGAGGCGGGGTTAAGGTGAGGGAGTGAAATTCAGGGATGGGTTTGAGAGTTTCTGGACGCTGAAGAAACCACCGGAGCATTAGCTCGTAGGCCTAGAGTTGACAGCGTGGAGCCTCGCCTGACCCGGGACCTACCACTGAATAAATCCAATCCAGGGTGCGGCGACTCACTGGCTTCATGGTAAGGAGGCGAAGGCGGTCTACGGGAACGGGCAGGACTTGCAGGCCCTAGAGTAACCTCCGGGGCGGCGGCTGCCGGGTGGCAGCGGCCATCTTACATCTGGGCACGAATGCCCGCCCACTTGCCGCCACGAGCGTTTCCCATCGGCCCGTCGGGCTCTTCCGCCCGGAGCTGGGGGCCGGTTTGCGAGATCGCGGGCCTAGCCCGCCTTTCAGGGAGGGTTTTAGACAAACGAGAAAATGTTTAAAAATGGCTTTTTTCCCCTCTCTTGACGCTTAGAGAGATAGGCGTACCTCGTCAACCGGTCCTTTCAGTTGCAGTGCAGTGTTAATACAAGGTAATGTACCGTCATGTGCATTTAAAAGTTTATTTGAAAAACTAACGTTTTATATATAGCATCGGTCTAACGCTGGAAGAATTAATGTTTCTTCTCGTATCTGTTCCCATGTCATATTGGTAGTCTTTCCTATATTCGTCCTTGACGTAAACAAAAATACTAACCACATTTATATAACGGTGACGGCTCGTTGTGGGAAATCGTGTTAATTTAGCCCGTTTTCAAGAAACCAGTCTTTTATAACCCAAGGGCTTGTTGATGTGAATGATATGAGAAGAAATAACGTGGCACCAATTCCCTGGCTTAATGTCTGCCAATCAACAAGCGTTTATTGAGCGTTTATTTACCTAGAACGTTAGCTCGTATCAAATATTAACCTAAAGGATGGCGGTTTAGCTCGCGGGCAGGTATACCAGGTTCAGCCTAGAATGTTTGGAACGCTCACAGCGGAGGCCAGAGGGTAGATTGAGGCAGTGGGCCGCCTTAGGCTCATGCGCTCTTTGTACAGCTCAAATACCATCTAAAAATAGGGTTTTAATCCTAATTTCAGGTTGTGGAGAAGGGAGAGAGCGGTCTTGAGAGAAACGCGTTCTGTTTTACGAAGATTCCAAGGCTATGTCCTTTAAGGTAATCTCTTTATCCCCGGACTGGAGTAAATCTCTTTACTAGTTGGGCTCTGGTTTTGGATTCTATTCGAATTTCGGTGTTATTTCTTAAGAGGTAGCTCAGTTCCTTTATACACTAGAAATAATTTTAGTAACTTCTCAGACTTTGGTGAGGTTTAAATAGGATAAAACTGGTTACTGTGTTTTTTTCGGGTAAGTTAGGAGTGAACATTAAGTTTCTGCCTTTGTAAGGACCAGAGATTAGTAGTAACAAGATTAAAGACGGTGATAATAGCAGTTTCTGCCTCCGGGGGTCAGGTCTCCCTGCGGCCTAGAACCGGACGGGTGGTGGGGGAAGGGGGGGAGGCGGGGCGTCCTAAGCCCCGCCCTCAGTGCCGGTGTCCTCCTAACGCGCCTGCGTTTCGCCGGCGGGTATTTTATTTTAACGCGCTAGGACCGCGGGGTGGGTTTTGTTCCTACCACCGCCTCCAAGCTACCATGGTGATGAACGCTTTACGTCTCAGGGGTCGCAACGGCCGCTGGGGTCTCCGCTGTCTCGCGAGGAGGGCGAAACGACCCCGCGTGCTCCGGCTCCGGAGGGCCCGCGGAGAAGTCGCCGGGTGCGCCTTCGCGGATCCTGCCGTCACCGCCCTAGCTTCCTAAACCGCCAGGAGCTTGCCTCCAGCGTACCAGTCAGGCATGCGCCGACATTCTCCGAGGTGAGTGCGAGCGGAAACAATGGGCGCGGGGGTCGAAAGGGCTGAGTGAGTTGGGACTGCCGTCTGAAGGGAGGCCCAAAGGTGAAGGAGCAGGTCGTCTGGGTCTGGGCAGAGCTGGCAGACAGAATCTGCGGTACACCTGTGGATTTGTGGCGGTGGGAGGGAGAGGGCTACGTTTCCCAGAAGCGCTCCCGGTGGTGCCCATACTGGAAAGACCTTGGCCTGGGTGGGGGTTTGGGGGGGAACCCAACATAAAACGTTCCACTTTGAATCACGTCGTGTCCACTGTCAGAAGTGTGACCTTGGATGGGCTCTCCAGCTTCTTTGAGCTTGTCTGTAAAATGAGAATAACAGTATTTTAGTTCATTGTGGTTGTGTAAGGCACCTGGTGTTTGTTTTAAATCCTGCCCTGGAGCAGTTCTCTACCAAAGGAAGCTACTGTCACGGTGATTGTTTGGGTTGTCTGTGCAATGTTCTATACTGTGGGCTAGGGCTGAATTCTGCGTCCATCCAGTGGGTATAGCTTCCCTCATGGGCTGCAGATCCCTACACTGGAAGGGACGGTACTGAGATGAGGCAAATGGTGATTTAAGGGGAAAGTGAATAGAATTCTTGGCAGGTAATTTTAAAGATTAAGATAAATTAAGTAGACCCTGTCTGGTGTGGCACAGTGTAACCCAAAAGGTTGCCGGTTCAATTCCCAGTCAGGGCATATGCCTGGGTTGTGGGTCAGGGTCCCAGGTGAGAGTGTGAGAAAGGCAACCGATCAGTTGATGTGTCTCTTGTGCATTAATATTTCTCTCCCTCTCTTTCTCCCCCTCCACTCTAAAAATAAATAAATTTTCAAAAAGATAAATTAAGAAAGAGCCAAGATTTTAGTTAATAGTGGGGAGGGTTGGGGGGTTTTGTTTGTTTTTAGTCAATGATATGCAAAGCTATATAGTCAGTGGAAACAAACATGCTTGTCTGGAATGTGAGGCTCTAGAGGGGAATAGTTCCCAAGCTTTTGTTTTGTGTGTGTGTGTGTGTTTAAAGATTTTCTTTGTTTATTTTTAGAGGGAGAGGGATGGAGAGGGAGAGAAACATCAAGTGTGTTGGTTACCTCCAGCGGTCCTCTACTGGGGACCTGGCCTGGAACCCAGGCATGTGTGCTGACAGGGATTCAAACCATTGACCCTTTGGCTCACAAGCTGGCACTAAATCCGCTGAGCCACACCAGCCAGGGCCCAAGCAATTCTTTTTATTGCTGGAATTGGAATTAAAATTTATAGGATCTGATCAAGCGTCCCTATAACTTCTACATCTGTTAAATACATGTAATTCAAATTGCAGTTCAGCAGTACAGTGATTTCTTTAAGGTCACAAGAGGTAGAATCCAACTCATTTTAAAATTTAAATACTTGGGATGTATTTCCAGTTGATCCACTTGCAAATCTTTTGTAGCTACTTTGCATAGGTATATTAAGCACAATAATTTTGTTAGGAAGGAAGATAAGTTGTTTCAGACTGTCATGTCTGTGGGCTTTTATTATGAGTTATGGGTGATAAAAATGGCCAGAAGTAACTTTATTTTCACAAAACATAGGGAAATGGTATTCAGTTCTTAATGCTCACCAAGCACTATTCTAAGTGTTTTTGTGGAATATTTCCCTTTTCAGGTGGGTACTATTACTTAAGGTTTTAAGAAATTAGATAACTTCCTTTAGATCACACAGCTGTTAAGTGGTTTTGATTCTCAGCCCTGGCCCTGCATTAAAATTAACATCATTCCTACAAGTATAATCAGCTGGTGGTTTGATTTTATATTCTGTGGTAATTTAGGAAATGCCATAGAAGATAACTTTTATAGGAAATCTGGTTTATAAAACTCTTAGATCTTCATACTATTGCAACTTTGTTTATATCACTATGTAGTCTTATAAATATCCAGTCTTTGGTCTAATTTAGATTCCAGCCTCCTGCCCTGGCTGGTGTAGCTCAGTGAATTGAGCGCTGGCTTGCAAACCTAAAGGTCACTGGTTCAATTCCTAGTGAGGGCACAAGCCTGAGTTGCAGGCCAGCTCCCCGGTAGGGTCCCTTGGAGAGGTAGCCACACACTGATGTCTCTCTCCCTCTCTGTCTTCCTCCCTTCCCCTCTCTCTGAAAATAAATAAATAATATCTTTAAAAAAAAGATTTCAGCCTCCTGATTCTTCACTAACCCTGAGTTCATTTTCCCCAGACACTAATGCTTGATTAATTATTTGAAATAACCCCCAAATGTGGTCTTGTGGGTTCTTGTTCTTGTGAAAGCCTACAGATTTGAAGGCTTGGCTTAATCAGTTTATCCTAATGGTGGTAAGCTTTATTTAAAACTTGGAAGCAGTTAAGAAAATGGGATCAGAAGAACTGATTTTCTTCCTGTGGAGAAATGAATTTGAAGTCCTAATTCCTAAAGAGCTAGGGTGGGGCTTCTAGAGCCCAAAACTCTAAATTTACCCTCAGGCCCACCTTTGCTACCTAAACCACAACCTCTCACAGAAACTTAAATCAGTCTCTAGCCATCTCTGTTTTGTGCCATAAAGAGCTTTGTTGAGATATAATTTACATTTCATCCCTATAGTTCATCTGTTAAATATATATAATTCAATAGTTTTGAGCATACTTAAAGAGTGCAACTGTGATTAAACTGAACATTTTCATCATCCCAAAAAGAAACTTTATTACAGTCTGTAGGAGTGGGCAAAAGTAGGTTTGCAGTTGTGAGTACACAAAACAGTTTATTCTTGAATTATTTATTAATTATTGTATTATTTTCCATGTGAAAAACTATAAACCTTCTTTTGCCCAACCCCGTACTTTTCATCTATAGGTTTGCCTGTTCTGGACATTTCATGTAAATGGCATCATATAACAAGTGGTCTTTGTGACTGATATTTTTTCCATTTAATGTAATGAAAGGTTCACCCATTTGTAGCATGTTTAACTTCATTCCTTTTTATTGCCAGATATTTCATTGTGTGGATATACCACATTTTATTTATCCTCCCCAGTTAATGGACATTTGAGTTATTTCTGCATTTGAGCTTTTATGATAATGCTGCTAGGAGTATTCACTTACAAGTTTTTGTGTAGACGTGTGTTTTTATTTCTGTTGAATAGATAGGTGTGCTATGGCTGGGTCATATGGTGATTCTACTTCATTTGTATCTTAGAAATATTTTAATTTTAGTACTATTGAGTGACGATTTTGAAGAAGTAAATCCTGTACTTGATGATTTACATTCATTGCTCTTGTTTGATGTTTTGGATGAATGCCATTCTTTGTAGCTAAAGATATTCCTGTGTAGAAATACAAAACAGAACTCTTAATTAATTTGTTCTTTATCTGATATGAATGATAATTACTGGACATTCTTTGGACTTGTGCAGTCAAAGTGGTTAATGGGCTTATAAAACTAGGTAAGACTAAGAGAACATTTTTTAAAAATCATACTTAGTTGAGCTTTTGTTTTATTTGAACTTCAAATTTACTGCCTAATAATTTTCTTTAGTAAATTCTTTTTAGGTTATAGTTTTTTAATTTTTTCCTTTTTGGGGGGTTGTTTAAATTTTTTTAATTTATTTTTAGAGAGAGGGGAAGGGAGGGAGAAAGAGAAAAACATCAGTGTGTGGTTGCCTCTCACATGCTTCCTGTTAGGAACTTAGGAACTTGGCCAGCAACCCAGGCATGTACTCTGGGAATCAAACCAACGAAACTTTGCTTCACAGGCAAAGTTCACTAGTGTGAACTGGAAATGGTTTAGTAAACACCAAAATTCTGTATTTCAAAGATATAAATAACAATAGAATGTGTTAACTTGATATTCACCAGTTTAAAAGTCTTATAATCCCTTTACTATATTGAAGGGCAAACTTAAGTCAGTAGTTAATGTGGCTTTTTCTAGTTTAGAGTTATAGAGTTAGTTTTAGGTGACACCTGGTCTTCAATCCGGGTCTTCTGATAACCTCTCCAGGTCCGTCTCCACACTTTACTCCTAACCCAAACGCATTCTTATCCTAAAGGTTTCCACCCCCCCCCCCCAAGTATGAGAATAAAAAATGTTAGAAGTAGAAGGAAATGCTGAGAAATTTATACAATATCAAGATTTCAGAGTTTAACTGTATTAACAGAAAAGCAATTGGTGTTCTGTATTTATAATTCTATTTTCTTCAAAACTGGTGGTTTTTGCATTGCCACTGTAAAAAAATAGAAGACTAGAAATATTTGGGCTCCTTGAAAAAACTTGTGCCGCATTGAGTATGTATTAAGTTATGGCTCTGAGAAAGTTAAGGTGCCCTAATGAGTAAGTTTAATTTGAAATCTATGGTAAAATACTTATTTCACAATCTCAGATTTTTGTTGTGGGATTTTTTTGTTGTTGATGTTGTTGTTGGAGCTTGGTATGGCAATGAGTCTATTGTTTAGAAAAATACAGTTCTGTTGTTTGAGTGACTTAACAGCAAGTTGAGTGACTCACTTGACAAGTGACAGGACTTCTTGCGATAGAGAATGTAGAGAAAGATGAATAACAGGCCCAGGAAAAAATAAAGGAACAAACTAGTATATATAAAATATTACTGTAATTAATTACTGTAAAAATTTTAATATATATAAAATATCACTGTAAATTGCAGCTAAAGGGGGATTTTATAAAATAATAAGGCTAAAATGTAAAGCAAACTAGAATTCCGCTCTGGTAAATTCATTTTATAAGTTACGAGTAATATAAGCTGATAAACTTAGTAGAAAACAAAACTAATCTTTAAGATTCTAGTTATTCTTGTGGGGAAAGATGATAAGGGAAATGGACCAAAAGCATAATTCAAGATACTTTATGGCTGACTTGGATTAAATAAAAAGGCTAAGAAAGGCTTCTTAAGTGGGGGTGGAAGGAATCTGTGATGAATTGACTGTAATAGCGTATTACTACACTGCTGTTATCAACAGTGTAGTAATAATCATAACAGCAACTAACATTTAATGAGCATTTGCTATGAGCCATGCGCTGCACTTGAGTGCTTTTACATTTAGTATTTCATTTTACTTTTTACTAAAAATCCTGCTTGTGTGTGAAAGAATCTTTCACTAAAAACCACAGAATTGGTTTAAGCAGGTAAACTTTCAGGTAAACTATCTCGTGAATGCTTTTTTTAAATTCAAGTATAGTTGAAATACAGTATTAGTTTCAGGTGTACACCGTAGTGATTCAACATTTACATACCTACTATGTGATCACCATGATAAGTCTAGTAACCACCTGTCACCATATAAGGTTATGACTAATGTTATTTTAAAGGTGTATATATACTCTTAACCACAAACAAAACAAACTAGTAGTTTATACTGTTTGGGGTGCATATATTTGAAAGATATGAAACCATACATAGCAGCAGTAACACCAACTGGAAGACTATGATGTTTCAGGGTTTTTCTTTTTTGTGGTCTTTTTTTTTTTAAAGACCTGGAATAACCATGACAAAATGTGTTACATCTGAGTATGAATACTTGGAATATCTTCTTTTGTACTTTAAAGAATAGAATGTCACATATTTGAGAGTTTCTATGTACCCAGGTAACTTTTTAAAGGGATTTTTACATCTTCATAAACCCTGTGAAATGGTGACCTACAGATGAAATTAAAGCATAGAGGTAGTAACTTATGCACAGTCACACTCCTAGTATGGAACCGATTCAAACCCAGGAGATTAGTCTTTCAAGCTTGTACTTAATGTACTCTTACTAGGTGACACTGCCTCTTTATATTACAAAGATTATGAACTACTGAACTAATTTTCACCAGAGTATGTTTCATAGTCATAAGCCTGTTTCAAGTTTAGTCATTTCTCTTTTACCAGGTTACTGATACAAATTTTTCCCTTTTACAGGTAATGTCATCAGCACCCAAGGAATTTAAAATGGACAACTTTTCACCTAAAGCTGGCACTAGCAAATTGCAACAGACAGTACCAGCTGATGCATCTCCTGATTCTAAGTGTCCTATTTGCTTGGATAGATTTGATAATGTGTCTTACTTAGATCGCTGTTTACATAAGTTCTGTTTTCGCTGTGTACAGGAGTGGTCTAAAAACAAAGCTGAATGTCCACTATGTAAACAGCCCTTTGATTCTATTTTGCATTCTGTGAGGGCAGAAAATGACTTTGAGGAGTACTTCCTAAGACCTCCATATAATGAAGGGGTCGTCAGGGGTTCTTTTGCTACCCCTGATGTTCAGCGATTCCGCTACCGTACAACTGTGACAAGAGAGCGAAGTGCTTTTTATTCACCCACTAGTACCATAAATAGAAGAACAACAACTCCACCAGATAGTGGAGTACTATTTGAAGGATTAAGCATTTCAACAAGACCCAGAGATGGTGAAATTTCTCAGTTAATGAGACAGATTCCAAGGAGGCCAACTACTACAGATGAAAGATCTTTGCGGAAAATTCAGGAACAGGATATTATTAATTTTAGGCGAACTCTTTATCGAGCTGGTGCCCGTGTTAGAAATATTGAAGATGGTGGTCGCTACCGAGATATTTCAGCTGAATTCTTTCGTAGAAATCCAGCTTGTCTTCACAGATTGGTCCCCTGGTTAAAACGTGAACTTACCGTTCTTTTTGGAGCTCATGGATCTTTAGTGAATATAGTGCAGCACATTATCATGAGTAATGTTACTCGATATGACTTGGAGAGTCAGGCCTTTGTGTCTGATTTAAGGCCCTTTTTACTGAATCGGACTGAACATTTTATACATGAATTTATCAGTTTTGCTCGATCTCCTTTTAACATGGCTGCTTTTGATCAACATGCTAATTATGATTGCCCTGCTCCTTCCTATGAAGAAGGTAGCCATTCCGATTCTTCAGTCATCACAATATCTCCAGATGAAGCTGAGACCCAAGAGCTGGATATTAACGTAGCCACTGTTAGTCGGGCACCGTGGGATGATGAAACTCCAGGGCCATCTTACTCAAGCTCAGAGCAGGTACATGCTGTCATGTCTTCCCTGTTAAATACTTCCGATAGTTCGGATGAAGACCTTGTAACAGGAAGAGCCACATCTCAGGTACCAGCAGTGCAAACCAGTGAGGACCTGAATAATGACAGTGATTCTTCTTCAGATAATTGTGTCATTGTTGGGTTTGTTAAGCCATTAGCTGAGAGGACCCCAGAACTTGTTGAACTGTCCTCAGATTCTGAGGAGTTAGGCTCTTATGAGAAAATAGAGACTGTGAAGACACAGGAACGAGAGCAGTCTTACACTTCTGGTGATAGTGATGGTAGTAGATGTTCATCTCCACACTCTGTCCTTGGAAAGGACGAGGAAATAAATAAAGGTCATTGTGATTCTGGTACAAGAATTAAGTCAAAAAAGGAAGAGAAACGATTTACGTTACTATCCTCTCCCAGAGACCTGAGCTCATCTGTCAGAGGAGACAGAGTATATTCCCCATATAACCACAGGCATAGAAGGAGGGGAAGATCAAGAAGTTCAGATTCACATTCCCAGAGTAGAAGTGGGCATGATCAGAAGAATCGAAGAAAGCACCATGGTAAGAAAAGAATGAAAAGAAAACGATCCAGAAGCAGGGAAAGTAGTAGACTTAGGAGTAGAAGAGACAAAAAAAGATCAAGAGATAGTAGTTGGTCGAGAAGAAGCCAAACTCTTTCTCTAAGTAGTGAAAGCACAAGCAGATCAAGATCTCGTAGCAGTGATCATGGTAAAAGAAGATCACGGAGCAGAACTAGAGATCATTATTATTTAAAAAATAACTATGGAAGCAGATATAAGTGGGAATATACTTACTATAGTAGAAACAAGGATAGGGATGGCTATGAATCATCTTACAGGAGAAAGACTCTGTCCAGAGCTCATTATTCCAGACAATCTTCAAGTCCAGAATTTAGAATTCAGTCCTTTTCTGAAAGAACAAATGCTAGGAAAAGAAATAATCACAGTGAAAGGAAATACTACTACTATGAAAGGCACAGATCAAGGAGCCTGTCTAGTAACAGGTCGAAGACTGCATCTACAGGACCTGACCGGGTGAGAAATGAAAAGCCTGGAGGGAAACGAAAATACAAAACTCGACATTTGGAGGGTAGTAATGAAGTGGCTCAGCCATCTCGTGAATTTACTTCTAAAGTAAAGGAAGGTCATTGCCAAAAATCTTCATCAAAATTGGATGGAAATTACAAAAATGAGAGTGATAGTGTTTCAGATAGCCGATCATCAGACAGAGAGACAAGACACAAGAGAAGAAAAAGAAGAACCCGGAGCCTAAGTGTAGAGATAGTTTATGAAGGGAAAGCTACCGATACAGCTAGACATCATAAAAAGAAAAAGAAGAAGCATAAGAAGAAGCATAAGAAGCACCATGGAGATAATGTTTCACGTTCCCCAGTTGTAATTACCATTGACAGTGACAGTGACAAGGATTCCGAGGTAAAGGAGAGTACAGAATGTGACAATAGTGGTCCTCAAGATCCTCTACAAAGTGAAAAATTTTTGGCTCCTTTGGAAACATTTGAAACTGAAGATATAGTTACAATAGAAGATGAAGTTGGTGTTCTGGACAAAGAATGTGATATTACTACATTTAATTTAAATAATGCCAACAAAGCTGAAGATAATACTCCACTTCAGCCAGCTTCATTCGAACAAACTCTTGATGTAAGAGAAGAAAGCACCTTTGCTGCTGATTTGGAGGACCAGCCCAGTAATGTGTCTTCAAACTGAGCCATCAAGGCAACTGGCATTTCCATGGACATCATTGTCAGTGTTTCTTGGTAGAGACCATGATGCATCTAAAAACTACCAAAGCATCTCACCAAGAATTCTGATGTTATAAAATCAAGAAGAAAAAGGAACAGTGTCATCTACTGCAGTCTGTTTAGATGACTTTTGGTGAAAACTTTTCCCCCTTAAAAATACTTTTAAGTGATTTTTTGTGTGTGTGTGTTAAAATTCTGTAAAAATTATTTGTTCAAAAAGTATGTTGCATCCTCAGAAATATGCACTTTTAAGTGAAGAAAATGTTATTGCTAACAGTTTATTTAAAACTTGGGATCCTTTTTAAATAAAAATATATAATTTTAGAAGTTATTTCATAAAGCCATATGGTATTGACATATTTTTAAAGTAGTTAATGAGTATTTTTGAATTCGGTTTTTTTGAGAGTTATTCTGGAAATGTGTTATAAACTAAGAGAATCTGTTTAAATAGTCTTTATTTTTCTTAAAAATTTGTATGACAGAAGCATTACTTCAGGTTAAATTGAGGCATTTTAATCTTTACAGTTTATCTTGACTTCTGCCAAAAGAAAAGTTTTACTATTTCCTTTATATACTTGTTTATCTGATCTATCAGTAAAAAAAAAATGTATACTCAACAAAAGAAAAATAAAATAGTAACACTTTAAGACAAGAATGCAGAAATTTTTCAATGCAGTATTAATATATTTTTAAGTCATTATTATAGTGAAAATAAGGATATGTTATATCATGATACTGAATTTCAGGTGAGCTGCATTTCAGTTTTAATGATTTAGTTCTTTAATCTGATCTTGAAGAGTATATTACTTGCTTTTTACCTTCAGAAAAATGCAGTTATGTAGCACCAAGCTTACAAATGAAGAAAACTTTGCCAGACCTCTATATTGGTGGTTCTTTTATACATGGTGGCTATTCTTATATTTTATCCTGTTTTAGAGATAATAAAAATTGCTCTGCATCCATAACCTGATATAGACAGCAGGACTTGGATTAAATCTAAATTTAGCCTTCCATTTGCTTTAATGTGATATTCGTTTATTGTTAACAAATTGAAATTCCTGCTGTTTTGTTGGGTTTCGTACTCAGGGATTCAGCGATGGGGCAAAACAGATGATGTTCCTTGTCCTCCTGTGGTGGGAGCTGTATAAAACATAAGTTTTCTGGAGAGAAAGTAAAATTTACTATAAAAAGCATACAGTGGGGGTCTAATCTCGGATGGAAGTGATGGTTGAATTGAAATACAGAAAACAAGTAGGTACAGAGTTGCTTTTACAAAGAGAAAGATGGGCAAAGATCCAAAGGCAAAGGGAAAAAGCCTAGCTACAGGGGTGTCCAGCCTGCAGCCCCGGGAGCCGCATGTGGCTCAACACAAAATCATAAGTTAAAACCTTTTTTCACTTGTCAGTTGTTGATAGTGCATTTAATGTATAGCCCAGAGATGCTAAAAGGTGGGACACCACTGCATGATTCCAAGAGCTAAAAGAAGGCAGGGTCAGCTAAGGGACAAAGACTGGGGCCAAGCTTTTGTAGGCCTTGTGTAGAGTTTGTATTTATCCTAAAGGCTGTAGGAAACTGGTTTAAAATGACGGATCTAACATTGGTACTGACTTTTTAATAGTTATAAATTGACAAATTGTAGGAAAACTAGTTGATTAAGGAATATACTTTGAAATTATGAAATAACTAGTTTTTCTTAAGGATTACAAACAAAAATGTTATTTTTCCATGTTCTGATTTTACATGATATTTTCAGTTAAACACTTAATGAAAACCCATTTCACATCATCCTGTTTTAAAAGATGTTAAAATTTTTCATTTCATTTGCCTGCTTTAAAATCCTTTAGTGATTTCCTTTTAGTGGAATATTTATTACAAGTAAACAGTCCAATGTAACATGGTTTACAAATTTGCCTAATCAGTTCCTGGTCCATCGTTTAGCTTTTCTCTCACCTTGTTTGTGCTCTGGCCACACTAGCTTGCTTCAGATCTATGGAGGTGCTGCTTCCTACTAATTCTGAGCCTTCGTACATGACATATTTCTTCTGCTAGAAACTGAATTCCATCCTGGCTAAACTGAGTTTCTTATAACTGGGTTTCTCCCCACTATTTCAATACTTCATTATTTGCTGTCTTAACCCTGGACTCCTGCAGAGCATATATCACAAATCACAATTAATTACTAAATGTCTATCAGCCTGAAAGTTTTTTGGCAATTACATGTATGTGTTCTGCTATATACCTTTATTTCTATCACATATGGAAGAGCTTAAAGCACTTACTGAATAGATGAATAGATGCTAGAGATTTTTAAAAATTAGCTAAGACCTGCTTTTTGCCTCCAGGAAGCTCCACTGTAAGCTTATAGCTTAATACTGTATTCTTTTAATTTGTTCATCTGGATCGAGTGTCCATAAGAAATTTTATTTCACAATGATTTTGTGACTTTTCTTTGTAGAGAGGAAATGTAACGAAGCGTTTGCACTTGCTCATTCATTGGTCCTCAGATTCACAACAGAACTTGTTACACTTTTACTTTCTAGTCTAAGTCAAGTTTCACCACAGCTCTTGGGGGAGCCAATCTAAGTAAGGGCTTCCCTGTAGTAATGATGGACAGTGTGTAGAGGGGCAAGGATTTGTGCAAAATAAGCCGATGGCCCATACTTGAAATTCTTCCATAATGGGGAATAATTGCAGTTCCCTGTTAGTGTGGGGCTGTGGGTCCCTGGAGCCCGCCAGTAGTACAATCCTGGACTTGATAAATTTTTCAGAAGGTGCTTTGGGCTGCCGTAAACTACATAGAACTTGGTTTGGGTTGTTGCCAGCCTCACGTCCCCAACCATGGGGGGACAGGGAGAGGGGTTCCTCCTCAATGGATTTCATCGAGGTTCAGAGCATGGATCCATTTGTAACATTCAGCTCATTAGACCCGTGCACAATTGACATGTTAGCTGACTTACTCAATTACTGTGGTAATGTAGATGTCACTGAGATCAGAATTTGTATAGACATGTCCAGTGATTGATACCTTTAGGGAAACCTACGTGGGAAGTTAAGATCGTGATCTTTGTGTAGGTAATATAAATGTTTTAGAAAAAATACATAGATGGGGAGAATGAATTTTGATAAAGCAAATTGTGGCAAAATGATAAGAATTGTGATGGGTAAAAATGGGAGAATTCTTTGTACTTGTAATTTTTTTGGTAAGCTTGATATAATTTTTAAAACAAAAACTTAGAAGTGCTTCTAGTGCTGCAAATTTGCCTGTATGTGAGAGAGTTGTCAGTCATGTATGCTCAACAAAAGGGAGTAAAATCACAAAGGCAAACATGGAGTGACTGGTCACTTTCTCTGTGAGAAAGAGTCAAAGTTACTACAAAGTATTCTGGTCCCTTTTTAAGTTGGGCCTGTGGGGATTAGGATCTTTGAGATACACAGTTAAGATCCTACTCTTGAGATACTACTCTTGCTTCCATCCTCAGAATCAAGCTTGTAAGGTTACAGAATCAAATGAGAGTTGGTTTTTTAAAACTTGAGGATGAAGAGGAGACATGGGCTTTTTGGGAAAAGGCCCTTGGGACAGGCAAAGTTGAAAATAAAGGAGAATGATAACTATGCAGGGAAGTTCCTTCAATAGAAGAGGTGATCTAGAGCCCCAGGTAAGTGAATTAATAATGGATAGAATCAGAGCTAAGTCTCATTATAAAGGACAGAAGGAGGTAATATGCGCTGAGACATTTGTGGGTAGGTGGACTAAGGTGAGGTAGTTCATGTTCTCAAGCCTCCTCTCCATTAACTAGGAAGCAGTGCCATCTTATGAGAAAGACGAAGCACGAGTAGGATTGAGTAATGACTATTGAGCCCTCACCTGATCCATGTAGTACTTAGATTTATGGGACATCAATATCTGTGGTGTAGTTCTAGTAATGGCACTCTGGGAGTGGAAGCAAAAATTAATGTTGAACATACAGTATGCATTCAGCATTGATAAGTGAATGAATACTTAGGTGGATTGGGTGAAGTTCTGCTAAATGTGAGTAGTAAAAGGGGCAAGGGAGTTGAGGGAAATACTGCTGAGTTGAGTTGATACATTCTGGTGTCTGCTGTGTAGGGAAGGAAGTGAAGCCGTCATGTGACCATTACACTTGAGGACAGATATCAAGGGATTCGTTTTCCAATGAGGTTCAAGCGGGAAAAGTGGGGAGTGGGAGTAAAAAGACTGAAAAATACTTTAGCACCTAATTCTAGGCATAATTGGGAGTAACTAAAATGGGCGAGGGTGAAGGTGACAGCAGTTGAGGACAGTGGTTGAGGCTGTATGTAAATCTCTACATGGAAGACACTGTGATGGCAGGAAGTAAAAGAGAAATGCTAGTTGTGTCACAGGTATTACGTCTTTCATGCTGTGTCCGTCACAGGAGCTGGCATATGCACCGAGAAGATAACCCAAACTTGCTAAATATTTTCTCATTCTGAACTTTTAGTCAGTACCCGAATTAGGTATTGGAAAACAGTGACTAGGATATGGCCATTTTACAATGTCATGAAAATTAGTAATTCCTACTTTCCCTGTAAGAATATTGGGAGATGGTAAATACCACCAGATCTGCCTGAAAAAAGCAAGAGGCAAGGAAAATGGGTTTTGAGTGGGGGCAAGGTCTGAGGGTAAAGTTTTTTCCATATGAGCTGCAACTGTGATGGTTGCCAGAACGTATAATGTACTTTCATACAAACGCAGGTACTTCCCCTGGCGTGGGCTGGCTTCTGCTTGTCTGTATTGTCATCTGGACTTTAAATCGGTAATTAGGTTTTTCCTAGGCAACATACCTCTGCTTTACTATCTAAAATTTATTTATTCATCAAACACCGAGTACAGATGGTCCTAGATTACGTAAATAAGAGTATAAGGATGAGTAGCATGGAGCCAACAGGAACTTGAAGAGGGTGGGAATTATATTCATTCTTCAGAACAAATTGGACTGGGCATAGCCGGAGTAATGGATCGTTGAGAAACTGCTGAGGCCAGAAATCAGAAGGCTCTGTAGAAGGAAGTGACAGTAA